CTTCCAAAGCTTGACAGATAGAGACTGTAATCTTTTTTTCCAGTTGTAGCTTAAAGAGATCCCAATATGTCTCCCAGTCATCTAGCTGCTGTAATGTTTCCAAAGCTATTTTCCTTCGCTTCTATCACATTACAAAAGGCCATCACGCTCCTGGACAAGCAGCCTCCACAGATCTGTGAGCTATGCAGTTAGAAAAGTCGCGGTCGCCATTTTACAAGTCTGTCCTCCTTTCAATAAATTGTCCTCCTTTCAATAAATCAAATCAGTCACTTAAGATTAGTCTCTGTAGAAATCTTTTCCCAGCTCGCAGATAGAAGATTTTAGTGCAAAGTTTAGCGCCTCAGTTTTGAAAGTGAAGAACTCCCCTAAACTCTGGCAAGCCACAGGCAGGGGAGTCAGCTCCCTTTGCTTCTGGGGAAGATTTATGGGGGCAATCATAAAAATACTCACTTCTTTTCAAAAATACTCACTGAGTCTTCACCAAGGATGTTAGTGACGAGGTATGGAGGCCCTTATATGGGGTAGTTACAACTTCCCAGTCATGCTAACGCGGCTGGTCTTTAGGAGCTTCTGCTTCAAGACAATCTGATTCCGTCTCCTGCTGTTGCCACAGGCAGGTGGCTCAGATGAAAGTCTTCTGCCACCAGTTTCCTACACTCGAGGTACTGGAGAGACTCCTGACCCGTCCGGTGTGCCCAGAAAGGTCAAAAATTTCACTAAAGAGCTCCCAAAAGCTAGTGAATTTCTGAGTTTCACTAGCTTTTGGGAGCTCTTTAGTGAAATCTGAGCCCTGAGTATTCAACTAGGTTGTTGCACAGAAGCCCCGCCTCTCCCCCGGGCGGTGAGTGTCTTCTGATGCTAGTCTTGGGAAGGCCTTTCTGTGAAACCCTTTCCAGCTTGTAGACAAAGAAGCTGACTTCTGCCTGTCATTCAAACAGAGGAAGCTGTCTTATATTACCAGTCTGTCTTGCATAGACTGGCAGCATCTGAACAGGGTCTTGGGCAGAGAATGGTCTTTGCCAACTTTGGTGGCTGAAATCATTGAGCACAGCAGGGATTGAACTTGGGAACTTCTGCATGAAAAACCCATGCTCTACCACTTAGCCATGGCCCTTCATCAGACTGCCCCAGACCAACCTTACCTCTTTTCCAGAACATCCTCTGGCCCAGCCTATAGATATAACACTCCTCAAACTTTTTATGGTACAAGGGGAAACTGTTGTTTGTCTTTTCCCCCCTTAGCTTTGAGGTGAAAATCTATGGACACATTTTGGGCACAATCTTGCCCAGCTTAAGTGCTTTCAATGCCCATTTAAACCATTTGAAGGAGGAGAAGAAGAGACTGGAGTTATACCCCACCCTTCACTACCCGAAGGAGTCTCAGAGCGGCTTACAATCTCCTTTCCCTTCCCCTCCCCACAACAGACACCCTGTGAGGTAGGTGGGGCTGAGAGAGCTCTTTCGAGAGCTCATGAGAGAACAGCTCTGAAAGAACTTGTGACTGACCCAAGGTCACGCCAGCAGCTACATGTAGAGGAGTGGGGAATCAAACTCGGTTCTTCCAGATTAGAGTTCACTCTCCTAACCACTACACCAAACTGACTGTCCTAACCACTACACCAAACTGGGTGGACTAAGCACACGCTTAAATCTTCCCCATTGAAATTGGTCAAGCTTAAAAAGCATGGTACTTTGACCTGATGGGTGCCCTTTTTTTTACCATAGTAAAATGAACAGGAGTATTTCACTTAACGTGGTTTAGAATGAGCGATAATTACGTAGGCAAAACTGCAGGAGGCACAGGGATTCAAGCCTCCAGGAATGTTGATTACCAAAAATGAAAGCAGAGGAAAGCACGGCGGCCTTAGCCACGAATAGCTTCCATAAGCCATTCCATAATTTGGCATCCCATTCAAGCCATGTAAAAGGCTTTAAACAGATTCATGGAGGTTAGGGCTTTCAGTGGCAACTAGCCATGGTGACTGTGGGGAACCTCCACATTCAGAGGCACTAATCTGAATCCCAGAGCCAGGAGACAACATCAGGGGAAGACCTCGGCCTCTACGCCCTGTTCTTGGCCCTCCAGAGGACCTGGTTGGCCACTGTGTGAGACAGGATGCTGGACTAGATGGACCACTGATCCAATCCAGCAGGGCTCTTCTTATGTTTACATTCAAGAAGGGAATTAGGAGGGCTTTTCTTTGGAGAGGGGAAAATCGTAAGTTCATTTTAAGAAGTGTCAGCTTCCTCGTGAGACGCTTTGGGCCAAAAAACAGGTTTGAAGGCAACCTTTACTGAATTGCTATATGAAACACCGTATCTTCTCAACTTGTGTTGTACACATCTGAACCCAGTATTGGCAAACCACTAAGATTTTTACCTTCTCTGAGTGAATCAAAAGAAAACTTCTTCAGGAATAAGCTAGGTTGGAGTCCAGGAGCACTTTAAAGACCAAGAAGATTTTTTTGGGGGGGGTGTATAAACGGAATGCATTTGTCAGAATAAGTCATGTCTCAGCCTACTCTCTTGTCATGCTACCGCTTTTCTTCGAATTAAACGTAAGGTAAAGGTTCCCTTGCTCGAAAGCCAGTCGAATCCGACTCTAGGGTTGCGGTGCTCATCTCCGTTTCAAAGCCGAAGAGCCAGCGCTGTCCGAAGACGTTTCCGTGGTCATGTGGCCGGCATGACTAAACACCAAGGCGCACGGAACGCTGTTATCTTCCCTCCGAAGTGGTACCTATTTATCTACTTGCAATTTCTTGCTTTCGAACTGCTAGGTTGGCAGGAGCTGGAACTAGCGATGGGAGCTCACTCCATTATGCGGCACCTGGGTCTCGAACTGCTGAGCTACTGACCTTCCACAGCCTGCAGTTCAGCGTCTTAAGCACTTGAGCCACCGCAGCTCCTTAGAATTACAGCACCTTAATAAAACTGGAGAGTGCACAGAAACTGTCCTGGCATTTCAGCACGTACCCCAGTCCCATCCTCAAAGAAGTAACAGAACAGGAGCCTTTTTATATCTCTGAGACTTTCCATGCTAGAGGGAAACTGTAGAGCAAAGATGTCAAACCCCAGGGCTATTTTTGGGCAGGAACGCACAGGAATGGAGTTCCGGCTGGCTCCCAAGTTGGCCACGCCCAGCAGGAACTCATTTGCATAATAGGCCACACCCAACAGCAGAAACTCATTGGAATTGACTACATTAGGGGTGTGTGGCCTAACATGCAAAGGAGTTCCTGCTATTAAAAAAGTCCTGGGTTTTGACAACAAACAAGGTAAACAGAATAACAAGCAAAAGGTGTGTGTGGCTGGATAACCACACTTCTGGTAAAATGGGGGTGCGTCCTAATGTGCTAATGAGCTGTGCTGGCAGGGGTGTGGCCTAATATGCTAATGTGTTTCTGGTGTTGGGTGTGGCCTATTATGCTAATGAGTTCCTGCTGGGCTTTTTCTACAAAAAGAGCCCTGTTGAACCCATTTGCTCTGAGGGCTGGATCTGACATAAATGTCACTTTGTCGGGCTGGGCCCCGTGTGCCATAAAATGTAATGCCAGGTACCGGAGATATTTTACCACTGACTGCGACCCATACCCCTCCTCAGCAGAGCTTGAGGACAAACCAGCCCTCCTCGCCCCCTATGGCTGCCAACGCTGGGTTGGGCAATCCCTGAAGATCTGGGGGAAGACCCTGGGGAGGGCCTGCATTTGGAGAAAGGAGGGACCTCAGCTGGGGGTATAATAGGGGCCCTTTCGGTCCACGTTTGGACTGGTTTCCCCCCAGTTGTTCACAGACCAGATAAGAGCCCTGGATGGGTCAGTTCTGGCCACCGGGTTATATGTGTGACATGTCTGCTGTAGAGGATGCTAATGGTCTGTCTTAAGAAACCGTTGGAACGCTTAAAAACTGGAGAGGGAAGAGCTGAGCCCCATGTACTCAATTACTACTGCCTCACCAATACCTTTGCTAAGGTGAGGGCTACAGGAGGGTGGGCCCGTGGCTCATCATAGGAGAGAGTGAGCTCATCAGAAGCATCTGTCTTTCTCCCCCCCACCACCCCCTTCCCTGCCACAGTGCTCCATGGTAGAGTCACATCTATCCGACAGGCTGACGGTTCATACGGACGTGGCTGGAAACATCATCGGCCTCTCCGTCGTCACCATCCCGGGGTCCTGCCACGGGGCCGAGGTGGAAGATGTGGACTTGGAACTGTTCAACACCACCATCCTCCTCCAGCAGCCCATCCCTGCAGCTGTGTGAGTTTTCCGTTTGCCCCCAGGTGGGGTCGGTGGTGGGTTCTGTCACACCTGAAGAGGTTTGCGACTGGGTATTCTGGATTTGCTGAGGAGGGGAACAGAATGCACTCTTTTCGTTGTGGAGATTCTGATAGAAACATGGCTGCTGCGTAATGAGCAGAGTAGGAGGGCGGGACTCTGGAGCTCCATGCCTCAGCAATGAGGCCCTCTGTGGTCGTTTTTTTTCCTTGGGGGAGAAGAGGTTCTTGTGGGTTAGAGATAAGGAACAGAAGCTATTTGTTAACTCCTAGCTTGGTGTAGTGGTTAGGAGCGCGGACTCTAATCTGGGAGAACCGGATTTGATTCCCCACTCCTCCACATGTAGCTGCTGTTGGGACCTTGGGTCAGTCATAAGTTCTTTCAGAGCTGTTCTCTCAAGGGCAGTTCTTGAGAGAGCTCTCTCAGCCCCACCTACCTCACAGGGTGTCTGTTGTGGGGAGTGGAGGGAAAGGAGATTGTAAGCCGCTCTGATACTCATTCGGGTAGTGAAGGACGGTATAAATCCAATCTCTTCTTCTTCTATTTACTCTGGATAGTAATGGTTAGAAAACAGAGCTCTCAGATTCTCAGCAAAGAATCCAAGGGAAGTGGGGAACTTACCAAGTAGAATTTCTGAGTTTTTTTTTCCAAGATGGGTAGCCATGGTCAGTCTGCCTGCTGCAGTAGAAAAGACCAAGAGTCCAATAGCACCTTAACCATTTCTCTCCGATATTTTGCAATATGTATCTCAGCACTATTTTCCTGAGTACAAATGTTCAACATTTACTGTCCCTTCACTATGAAGTCATAATCCACTTTCAGTGACTCACAAAAGCTCGTACCCTGCGACAAATTTTGTTAGTCTTTCAGGTGCTTACTGGACTCTTGCTCTTTTCTTCTGCTGCTGAGTCATTTGATGGGAATGAGTCCAGAGGTTTAGGCTGTAATCCTAAACACTCTTGAAAAGAGTAGGTGCCTTTGGAAGTTAGCCGGCCTTGCTTCCAAGGAAGTGAGTGTAGATTTGGGGTAAAGCACATGTTAGGTCTCTGTCTGTCTATAGCCTTTTTGTCCTCTTCTACCTCTGTGGAAATCAGAACAGTGCTTATGGGTTTCCCTTCCCCGTTTTATGGTCACGATCATGCAAGCTTCATGTCTAAGCAGGGATTTGAACCCAGGACTTCCAGATCCTATGTCTGGATCCAACCAGCTTTTCTGCTGGTGAAAACAGAAGGAGGGGAGTCCAACTCCCCCCAAAATGACATACTGGGGATTATGGGACCTGCCTGGACAACAGCCTTGTGGCAGAGAGGCAGCATCAAGGGGGGGGGAGGGGGACTAGGTGAGATTGTGTGGACATCTTGGCTGGATCTAACCACTGTTACCACACTGGCTGTCAAGGGGGTCGGGAAGGACCTACCAGCCACAGCTTCACTTGTCTAGGAAAGAAGTTTTGGAATTCACTGCCGCAGGAAGGGGTGGTGGCTACAAGCATAGACAGCTTAAAGAGGGAATTGGATAAACATATGGAGCAGAGGTCCACCAGTGGCTATTAGCCACAAGGTATAGATGGAACATTCTGTCTGGGGCGGTGGTGCTCTGTATTCTAGTTGCTGCAGGGGCAACAGTGGGAGGGCTTCCAGAGTTCTGGCCCCGCTGGTGGACCTCCAGATGGCACTGTGGGTTTTGGCCACTGTGTGACCCAGAGTGTTGGACTGGATGGGCCACTGGCCTGATCCAACATGGCTTCTCTGATGTTCTTAAGTGTGCCGTCTTGTCTCTGATATAGTCTGTGGCTTTCTTCCCCAGACCCGAGACAGCAGCCTTTATTGAACGTATGGAGCAGGAGCAGGCGCAGAAAGCCAAGAATCCCCAGGAACAGAAATCCTTCTTTGCCAAATACGTAAGTGGGAGGGTGGGAGAAACCCAGCTCTCCCACCCCACCTCCCCCTTCCCCTCGGAAGGCATCTAAGTTACGGAGCTGGCCTGCTGGCCTGACTCTTGGTCTGGGTTGGGGAGGGTGGATGGAGATAATTGCGCCCCCCACCACCCTGCTTCTCAGTCACCACCTAGGTCTGCGAAAGGGGGGGGGTGCACTCCCCACCCTGATACTTGTTCTCCCCAATCCCTGCAGTGGCATTTAATTCTGGGCGGGGCAGTGCTTCTCCTAGCGACCAGCTCCGCAACAGCCCCTCGGGAGCCGGGACGTCAGCCCTGAGTCTAAGTAATGCCACCCCTGCCTCACCTTGCTTCCATCTTCTTCTGCACACTTCTGAATAAGCTTGACCCCACCCCCCTTCTTATTTCCCCTCCCAGAGGCAAAAAAGGCTTCCATCCTCCAGAAACAGAGGCTTGTCTGTCATTCTGGCACACAGATTCTGTGTTGGGGTGGGAGGCACCTCAAGGTAGCGACATCTCCCCCCCAAATCCACCCACCGTGTTGATTTACCTCAGTGGGCTGTTTTGAAGTGCAGTGCATTCTGGGAGCCACCCAAGCCCTCAAGATGCTTCACACCTTGCGGGCCCCAAGGCTCCCTAGAGCAGGAGTGGCCAGACTTGCTTGGCGTAAGAGCCACATAGAAGAAACATCAGATGTCCGAGAGCCGCGAGACATGAGCAAATATTGCACGCATGTTTTAAGTGGAAAATACGCACATTTGCTTTTTAATAACGTTAACATTAAGTAAGACTGCCAGAAATTAAAACATAAGGGGTAAAAACAGATCTTGATAATGATATTTAAAGAGACAAATGCTTTATCCAAGCCAAGGGAGGGGGGGCTTTGAGAACACATTTAAAATTGCTTTCTTTCTTTGCTTCCCCCCCCCCCCCCCCCAAC